ACAAACAAACAAACAAAAAATAATGCAAGCTAAGATAAAGTCAAATAATCTTTATATATATCCTTGGAATATAAAATATAACAGAAAAGTAACCAAGATAGCCCTGGCTGAGTGGTTAAATTGGTTGGAGCATTGAACCATACACCAAAAAAGGTTGCAGGTTCAATTCCCAGTCAGGTCAGGGCACATACCTAGGTTGCAGTTTGATTTTCTCATTGGGGCACATTTGGGAGGCAACCATTGCTATTTCTCTATTTCTCCCCCTTCCTTCCACTCTCTCTAAAAGACAAAGGTGAAATATCCTTAGATAAGGATTAGCAACAACAAAAAAGTGCTCTAGTCCTGGCCAGTTTGGTTCAGTGGATAGAGGGTCAGCCTGTGGACTGAAAAGTCCCAGGTTCGATTCTAGTCAAGGGTTTGTACCTTGGTTGCAGGCACATCCCCAGTGTGAAGCCTGTAGAAGGCAGCTGATAGATGTTTCTCTCTCACTGATGTTTCTAACTCTCTATCCTTCTCCCTTCTTCTCTGTAAAAAATCAATAAAGTATATATATATATATATATTTTAAAAGTATTCTAGAAATGTCTTCTTCCTTAAACTGCTACTAGAATAACAGGTGCTGTATTAATGCTATCTTAAAATATCATCATTTCAAAGTACTATCTCAAATGTGGTGTCATTTAGTCCTAACAACTTGATAAATACTTATGGGTGATCATCAGATTCAAATAATTTATGTTTTGCCTATTCAAAGCTATTGAGCTTAAAAAATAATAGAGCTAAATCTCACAATCAAGACTTTAAACTTTAAGTATGTCTTCTTCCTGTTATGTCTCAAAATTAGCATTTCAATTTATGATGATATTCTATAATTGTTTCTCCAAGGTGATGAATAAATATAAACACTAGGTTTTAAATTTTTTCTAAGTATAAGCCCTTTTGAAAAATGAAATCTATGGAAGTACTCAATAGGGGGAAAAAAGTTTTGCATATATTTTCAGGCCTTCCTGAGTGCCTGGTTAATAACCCTATACAAGATTATTACGTGAAGGATAGGGGTGATAACTTATGCTCTTGTCATATGCTTCACAGTGCATAGCAGAAAGCACAGAACAAAATTAATAAATTTTGGAATGACTGTAAAAAGTCTATTTTCTTGATACTGACATTCACAACAGTCAAGAGTTTCTATTAAGATGAACATATTAGCAGTAATAATAAGAAAAAAATGATGAAAAGAAGAAGACAAATGATAGACAAAAATAAAGTAATTCAGCCCAACCGGTGTGGCGCAGTGGCTGAGCGTTACCTATGAACCAGCAGGTCACAGTTCAATTCCTGGTCAGAGCACATGCCTGTGTTTCAGTCTCATTTCCCAGCAGGGGGCATGCAGGAAGCAGCTAAATGATTCTCACTCATCGCTGATGTTTCTCTCTCTCCTCCTCCCTTCCTCTCTGAAATAAAAATATATTACAAAAAATAAAATCATTGAGAGAAGGCACAAACACCTGCTGAGCCTTACTGTATGCTAGGAGCTTTACTTCATATTATTTTTAGCCTGAAAATAGCCTCTAAAGTAGTTATTATCAGTCTTTTAGAAGACAAAACCAAGAATTAAAAAAAGCTGATTAATTTTACCAAAGCTTAAGGACAATGAAAAAGCAAAGAGATAAATCAGATCAATCTAGGATGGAAAAAATTTGGCTCATAGCCTGTAATCTCCCCAAAATTTAACTTAATAGCATAGATTGCTATAGAAGGGGGGAAGAGTTCAAAGTTCTTTCCATGCATAATTTGTTATATTTTAATATATTCTTAGGCAGTCAGTTACAAGAATAATGAACTCTTCTTGTTTCCATCCTTTCCAAGAAAAATCATTAGGATGCTGTTACTATAAAAAGCAGTAACATTTTCTGGTGTTACATATCCTATCTAATAAAAGAATAATATGCAAAGTAACCATCACTCCACCACACCCAAAAGCCACGCCCACCAGCCATTCAGGATCAACTATGCAAATTAACCCAACCAAGATGGCTATGGCCAAGGAGCTAGCAGAAGGCATGGGATCCCAGGCAATGGAGGAAGCCAAGTTTTCCACACACCCTGGCAGGCCCAGGCCTCCATTCAAGGATACAGAATTTCAATTAAATAAATCCCAACAAAAATGGGGGCAGCCACGGAGTTGGAAAAAGCAGGAGGCTTGAGTTGCCCTCAGCAATGGAGGAAGCCAAGCTCCCACAGCCTGGCCTGCCTTGGCCTCTACTACAAAGTTTCCATTATAGAAGATAAAAAAATCCCAACAAAAATGGCTGTGGCCAAGGAGCAAGCAGGAGACTTAGCTCTGCTTAGGGCTACAAAGTTTCAATTATAGAAGATAAATAAATCCCAGATACCAGAGCCTCTGCTTGAATTGCCAGGGGGCATGGCTGGCCTGCAAACCACCACAGTCCCTCACTCAGGCGGCCCCACGCCCCAAGGGAACCCCCACCCTGATCCAGGACACCCTTCAGGGCAAACCAGCTGGCCCCCAAACCCACACATGCACCAGGCCTCTATCCTATCTAATAAAAGAGTAATATGCAAATTGACCATCACTCCAACACACAACATGGCTGCCTCCATGTTATCAAAGATGGCTGCCCCTAAGTGAACACAATATGGCTGCCACAAGATGGCCAGCATGGGAAGGCAGTTGGGAGAGACCAGGCCTTCAAGGGAGGGCAGTTGGGGGTGATCAAGCCTGCAGGGGAGGGCAGTTGGGGGAAACCAGGCCAACAGAGGAGGGAAGTTGGGGGCAACCAGACCTGCATGGGAAGGCAATTAGGGGTGACCAGGTGTGCAGAGGAGGGGAGTTAGGGGCAAACAGATTGGCAGGGGAGCAATTCAGCATCAATTAGTCTGTCAGGGAAGTATTTAGGGGGTAGGCAGAAGCAGTTAGGGGCAATCAGGAAGGCAGGCAGGCAAGCAGTTGAGAGTCAGCAGTCCTGGATTGTGAGAGGGATGTCCCAGATTGGAGAGGATGCAGGCTGGACTGAGGGACACCCCCCCCCCCATGCACGAATTTTGTGCACTGGGCCTCTAGTCTGTAATAATAAAAGCATAATATGGTAATTAGTCTGGATGTCCTTCTGAATAACCTTCCGGATGAAGCCAGGGCTGTGAGGGAAGCCTGGGTCCGGGTGCCTGAGGAAGCTGATACCCACAGCCTGGGGAAGGAAGGCCTACTCTTACATAAATTTCATGCATTGGGCCTCTAGTATAAAATAAAGGAGATCAAACCCAATTTCTGACCTTCTTTATTTTTTCTGTGTTCCACAATGAGTCTACACTCATACTTACAGCTGGCTACTTTGCAAATGTTTGTTGTTAAATATGAGAGACATTCAAACCTATCTCAACAAGTAAGATTATTGTTCAAGCCATAAATCTTATAGCAGGCCTCCCCCAATGACCTAAGATTGAGGAATTAACCTCCCATTCTCAACCTCAGAATCAAATGAGTTACAGAGGAAAAGTCTTAAAAGAGCAGATGAGCTAGAAATATCTCTATATGCAGAGTATGTTTTAGAGCAAATGAGGCCTGACATGTTACTGGAGGCAAAAATGACAATACTGAAGCTGTCCTACTTTGGGCACATCATGAGAAGACAGAGTTCTTTGGAAAAGATAATAATCTAGGGGAAAAAAAAGGCAATAGGAAAAAGGAAGACCAAATATGAGATGGTTTGACTGCATAAAAGAAGGTATGAGTTTACAGGAGCTGAGCCAGGATGTTGAGGACAGGACATTGTGGGTTTCACTCATTAACAGCGTTCCCAAAAGTCAGAGTCCACTCAAAGGTAAGGCAGCTTACATACAATTAACAAAGGTAAAAATACAGTAAGAGTTCTAGGGGAAAAAAATATCCAAGATTCTCAAAAGTACAAGAATGTATTTCAAGAATCTAAGTGAGAAAAAAGAGGGATTGGCTAAAAAATAACACTTTCAGACTTGAGTGTACTTAAGGCCTGATGATCTGGTTAGCAAGAAAATCTTTATGTGTACTGGGAAGCAAAAGCTTTGATTTAAAAAAAAAAAAAAAAAGAAAAAAGAAAAAGAAAGAAAAGACTGTAAACTCAGAAAAACAAATACTTTCTTTCAAAAATAAATAATTTCTGGGTATGAAATGGCCCCTCAAAAAATTGAAGTATAAGGATATAAACCAAAATATTCTGTTATATGAAGATAGAAGTGGCTGTTTCTTAAAGCAAAATCACCAAAATACACTTCTCTCCTATAAACAAATAATAAACTGAATAATCTCCAATAGCTTATGCTCTTTTGGTTTCTTCTTTCTCTAAGAGTACTTCTATTAGGTATATGCCAAAATAAGAGAAATTAATTTTCTCAGCACTCAAATAAAACAGAGTATCTGGGTAAGGAGGAATAAATTATCAATAAAGGGGTTTGAAACATCATTGGACCCCAAGGAAGAAATAAACCTAGAGACTAAGAGAACAGGGCTTAATCAAAACTAACATTCTGTAAATATAAAGATTAAATTTAAAGGTTTTCTGGGGTTCTAATTCTATAATCCAAGTTATCTATAACCTACTGTTCTACTTACCTTTTAATACAGTGGACCCTTAAACAACATGGGTTTGAATTGCATAAGCCTTCTTATATGCAGATTTTAAAAAAATCTGTACAGTACTAATAATGTATTTTCTCTGTATTATTTTCTTAATAACATTTCTCTTCTATAGTTTTATTGTAAAAATATAGTACATAATATATGTAAAAACAAAATATGTGTGAACTGACTGCTTGTTACTGGTAAGGCTTACAGGTTGGTGGAGTCAAGTTACATGTGAAATTTCAACTGTGCAGGTGTCATGCCTAATCCCCAAGTTATTCAAGGGTCAACTATAATTAATTTTCCCACCCCACTTAAGTTATTTCGCTATTGGTATGAACAATATAAAATTTTCAGCAAAAATACAATGCAGTGACCTTACCTAGTAGCAAACTGAATGAGTGCATTTTGAAGAGTCTGTCTAATTTCAAGAAGAAAAGATTCATCATCACTTAGTGTATAATACCAATATTGGACATAATCCCTCAAGGAAAACTGGATAACCTAAAACAAGAATATTGGGGGGAAAATACAACTATTTAGGATTTTAAAAATAACACTGGCAAACTAAAGGATTATTTGCCAATTGGTAATTATTCTCTATATACTAAATTGTGGTGGTGAATAACTGCTTTTATTTTTAAAGCATCAATATGCCAAAAACCATTTCAAAAATTTTAAAATTATTTTAGTATCCCAATTCATAAGCTGCCCAAGTTGTTTTGTTTTTTTTTTTAATTAGCTATCTATGGCCAAGCCCACTCTAAATCCACAAAGTCGGTGCCTGCAAAAAAAAAAGTAAACTTTCAATGTTATCGGGTCTAGTAATAATTAATGTCGTTTTTAAACATTCGTTTAAAATCTTGCTTGGCGTTGACTTGTATTGACATAACCTTCAAACACATGGTATCTACAGAACGTGTGAAGTGCAATTAACAAGTTTTGCTTGAAAAAGTTTGTGTTTGGTTTGGTTTTTGTTGCAAAACTAGGGCTAAGAAGATGGCAGATGAAGAGCATATTCGGCACTGCATGCTTTACGAGTTCCAATTAGGAAGAAAAGCAAGTGAGGCTGCAAAAAACATCTGTAGTGCTCTTGGTCAAGATGCAGTTAGCGCCAGAAAATGCCAGCGTTGGTTTGAGAAATTTCGCGAGGGACATTTTTCGTTAGATGACAGGAGTGGTCGAGGCCCTGTGTCCAATTTTGATCAAGAAGCTCTTCAAGCTCTTTTGGTGCAAAATCCTCAAATTACCCAACAAGAGCTTGCGACAACTTTAAATTGTTCACAAAAAACAATTTCCAATCAATTACGTGCACTTGGCAAGTCCAAAAGTTTGGAAAATGGGTTCCTCATGAGTTGACCGACAACAACCGTAATCAAAGAGTCACAATTTGCAGTTCGCTCCTCTCTCGTCAAAACCGTTTGCCGTTTTTAGAGCAAATTGTTACCGGAGATGAAAAATGGGAGCTGTATGTTAATTTGAAAAGGCGGCCTCAATGGTTGGACAAAAATGAGGCTCCGCAGCCCACGCCAAAACCTGACTTGCATGCAAAAAAAGTGATGTTGTGTGTTTGGTGGAATTTTAAAGGAATTCTTCATTATGAACTTTTACCATCTAACCAAACCATTACAAGTGCAGTGTATAGTGCCCCATTGGAAAGGTTAGCCCAAGCTTTAAGAGAAAAAGAACCCGTGCTGATTAATCGGAAGGGCGTAATTCTTCACCACGATAACGCACGACCGCATACTGCAAGAATCACTGCTGAAAAACTGCGCCAGTTGGAATGGGAAGTTCTCCCTCAACCTGCATATTCTCCTGATATTGCCCCTTCCGATTACCATTTGTTTCGTTCTTTGCAAAACTTTCTTCTTGGAAAAAAATTTAATAATGAAGAATGCCTCAAAAATGCATTGACCAAATTTTTTGCATCAAAATCACAAGAATTTTACAACAGAGGAATTAAAATGCTTCCTGAGCATTGGGCACAAGTAGTAGAAAACAACGGCAACTATATTGTTTAAATAAATTCGATTTAAAAAAGGTATTAGAAAACGACATTAATTATTACTAGGCCTAATATAATGAAGAGTTTTAATCAGTTTGATTTAATAAGATGCAAAGTAATACCAATGGACCCTAATTCTCCAAAAAACCTCCACAATTTTCCCAAGATTATATCTTCAGATTCCTTTCAGTCAAATTCTAAAAAATGACATAGTTCACTTAATTCTAATACCTTCTACACTGCCAGCAGTATTAAGTTAGTCACTAAATAGCACATAATACAACTTAATGTATAAAGTTTTTGTAATTCAGATAAACTAAACATGGGTTTATATATAAAATGTTAGAATTTTAAAGTACTCATTACTTATAATAATCATATAATTTAAAAAATCAATGAAAAATATTTGGGGGAAGAATATTTTTAATTCTAATTTATTTAAACACTTAATCACTTTTATTTATTTGTTTCTTTTTGTTAATCCTCACCTGAAGATATTTTCCCATTGGTTTTTAGAGAGAATGGAAGAGAGAGGGAAAGACAAAGAGAAACATCTATGGGAAAGAAACACATGGATTGTTTGCCTCCTGCAGGAGCCCTAACAAGGGCCAGGGCTGGGAAGGAGCCTGCAACCAAGGTACATGCTCTTGTCCAGAATCGAACCTGGGACCCTTTGGTCTACAGGCTGATGCTCTAACCACTGAGCCAAACTAACTTAGTCCTTTTTTTGTTGTTGTTAATCCTCATCTAAGGACGTTATCCCATTGATTTTTAGAGAAAGTGGAAGGGAGAGAGAGTAACGTCAATGTGAGAGACACATCAATTCGTTGCCTCCCGCATGGGCCCAACCAGGGCTTGGGACTGAGCCGCAACAGAGGCACATGCCCTTGACCAGAATCGAACCTGAGACCCTTCAGTCGCAGGCCAATGCTTTATCCACTGAGCCAAACCTGTCAATGCTAAATTCTAACTTTTGAATGTTGTTGAATCAAAGTAAGTATATTAACTTTACAAAGTAATAAAACTATTAATAGTAGGGAATTATGTCTGATTTACCAAATCACTAAGTTTGTTCATTAGCTAAAAATTACACTTTAACTATAAAATAACTAAAAACATTATCAAATATGTCAGTAAAAACTTTTTTCTAAATGCAAATTCAATCAAAAGGCTTACTATTAAGTAAAGCACCTCATTATAAATTAGTTCATAAATAAGGCAGCATCTTTAAATTTAGAACCAAGGGTAGAATTATATTTCTAGTATGTTAAATAAATAGCAAAATTATTTTCAAAAGAAATATACCTAGCACACAATATATGGAATTCAAATACCACATACTGAAACTCACTTGCTGGAGAGGCTCATCAATTATATTGGCACCAGTTAATCTTCTATCGATCTTTATTGTCCCGGCTTCACGTTTCATTTCTTCTAAACACTTAAAGGAAACCATCACATCTTACTGCATAGTTTCTTGATTTAAAATCTCTGTGGTTTATTTCTAACTGAATATTCATTGTAACTCCCCTGTCATTATCTTTAAGTACATAAATAATCTTATTTCTTGATACTCTAGTAAAAACCAAAACTACTTCTCAAGTTAGCAAAACTACACATCCAAAAATAAAAATTTATTCTTAACTTCAAAAATGTAATAAAATCTGCAAACATTACTTAGAATGTGAGAAAATTGGAAATATACAATGTTGACATATTTCAATGAAACTTTAAGCCACAAGTTAGTTTAAGTGAGTTAAGTTATTAATTTTCCTCTTCCTCCCTCCCTGCCTGCCCAAAACAGTTGGAAAAAAAATATCCTCCAAATTGATTTTGCTTAGGGATGATATGCAACAACTAATGAAAATTTGTCTATTTCTCTGTAGTCTTCAGAAAGATCAGTGGTCTGGAAACAAGATGAAAAGTAGTGGTTCACTCTTCAATTAAAAATACAAACCAAAGCCTACTTATATTTTATATATATTTACTAGAGGTCTAGTGCACAAATTCATGCATGGGTGGGGTCCTTTGGCCTGACCAAAGATCGGGGCAGGTTGACCAGGGGAAGGGACCATGGGATGATAGCCAGCTGCAGGAGGTTGGCTGTAGGAGAACACTGACAACCAGGGGCAGATCCTGCATTGAGTGTCTGCCCCCTGGTGGTCAGTGTGCGTGACAGCAACTGGTTGACTGGTCATTCATTTGCTTAGGCTTTTATATATAGAGATGTATATATTTATACATATAAAACAGGATTCATATTTATAAAACCTCTAAGAACTTTTCATAAAGCATGCTTATACAGCATTTTAGAAAAAGCAAATCAAAATCATTATTTTTTTATACCATCTACTAAAATATATAATAAATACAAATCTTGACTATGATATATTACTGTTTGGGATCTTACTTTTTTTAAAATAGATTTTGAGAGAGATATAAAGGAAAGGGAGGGAGAAAAACATTAATGTATTAATGTAAGAAGAAAACATCAATTGGCTGCCTCTACTCCCCACCCCCTTTCAGAGATAATGGAGCCTGCAACCTGGGCATGTGACATGACAGGGGATTGAATCAACCTTTCAGTGCTTGGAATGATGCCCAATCACAGGGGCCAACATCAGGATCTTAATTATAAAATATTTCCATCTACATGTATCACTCAAATGAATGGAAACTATGAATGGCTAAGAATTGATTCAAAAAAAGAAAAGATTCATTTCCTCAGAAATATTTGTGAGCAAACTCAAAGAATACATTAATAGGAGTCATAAAGGTGAACAAGGAAGTTTCAGATTATTTTAAAAGTTACAGTATTAGAAAAAAATTATTGATATGAAAATCAGTGGGATTGGGTTATTTCAGTAATGTAAAATAATACTTTATATATTACTTTGTCTGCATCTCCTACATCTTAACACAAACTGAACAAAATAATAATTGTAAAGTTAAATTCCTAGCAGCAGCTCCAGACCATCTGTCTCTCTTGATAAAAGATGAAACCATCCCAATCCTACAAAAAGAATTAAGGCAATGCAAAACTGAAGCTTAGTTATCTTACTTAATTCCAATTTTATTTATATAAGACTGGAGGCCCAGTGCACGAATTTGTGCACCAGTGGGGTCCCTTGGCCTAGCCTATGAGATTGGGCCAAAACTGGCTCTCTGACATCCCCTGAGGTGTCCTGGATTGCAAGAGGGTGCAGGCCAGGCCAACTGGGGCCAGGGAGAGACGCGGGAGGTTGGCCAGCCAGGGACTGCAAAAGGGCTCCAGAGCATGCCTGGCCTGTCTTGCTCAGTTCCAATCAGCCGGATCCCAGAAGCAAGCTAACCTACTGGTCAGAGCATCTGCACCCTGGTGGTCAGTGCACGTCATAGCAACTGGTTGACTATCTGCCCCCCTGCTGGTCAGTGTATGTTATAGCAACTGGTTGACTGGTCAACTGCCCCCTGGTGGTCAGTGTACATTATAGCAAGCAGTTGAGTGGCCCTAGCATATCATTGGCATATTACACTTTGGTTGAATGACCAGACTACTAGACACTTAGCATATTAAATTTTTATTATATAGGATTGAAAAAAAATTTTAAAAAGCATCATTCAAGATGACATCAAATGGCCTTAACTTATTAAAATTATAAATAATGGATAGCCTAACTGCAAGCTATAGTTTTCAAGTGAGTTAAATAAAAAGTATTCCTTTTCTCCCTCTGGTTCCTTTGTTATTTATTTCATTCAAAACATTATATTCATTGACACAAATCATACATGTGATACTTTCAATGTCTAGTTTAAGGATAGAAGGAAACACTCCAATTTTCTGTCTTTTCCTCAAATTTGTATTTGCACCTTTAATATCTGAGAAAGTTTAAAAGGTAACTTGTAAAATGTATTTTTCTAGGCATGATCAGAAAGTCTCCCATAAGTTTATAATGAACATGAATGAATTATAGAAAAATCTGTCAAGCCATAAATGGATGGTCACTTTGTAGATATCATTGTGTAGAAGAGAAATGAGATTTCACATTCCTTTACACTATTTACCTTAGGAATTCCAGTTGAAGTTGGAGGAAGAAATGAGTGTTCACACTGCTCTAGGTACTTCTCTGAGTTTGTTTTTCCAAATAAAAGAGTAACCACAAAACCCCTGAAAAAAAAAATTTAATTATAGATATGAAACAAAATTTTACTATAATCTAATTCTAATACATCTATTACCAAATATTTTTTCAGATTTAATAGGTGGCTTATCATTCACTAAAATATCTATTTTTGACTTTGACAAGGCAAGGAATCGACAGATTTTGCTATTCTCTGAAATTTAAATTAACTATCAACACTTGTAAACTTACACAATAATGCCTTTCAAAGTTTTAATCCAAAATAGTTCATAAAAAAATCTCAGGCAACATTTTCAAAATTTAGGAAAATTAGCCCTCATTAAATAAGTAGGCTAGCTAATAATCAAAACCAAGAACAAATGAAATCTAAGTCTATAGTTAAAACACACGTTCTATTGCTAATTAACATGAGATATTATAACTTGCCACTATGACTAAAAAACGAAGGTTACATGTAAAAAAGTGACCCAATTTATTATTTATTTAAATAATCCTGGAATTTATAAAGGAAAATTAAACTCAAGGTAAGATAAACATTGGTGAAGAATAACTTTACTGTAACTATTGACTAAATGCTATCAATATTTTCTATATTTAAAATTTACCAATTAATTATAAGCAGTACTAAGTAGATAGAAATTCCATCAGGAAGAAAACTAAATTTTAATTTTGTAATAAAGAGGTTTTAGTGGCTCTCCCACACTTTCCAATGCCCCATCTTATCTATAAATGTTTACATACTTTACAAGTATCCAAAAATGTTTTTGAAAATTATTCTTTAAAAAATTAGCAGATGTAAAGAGGAAACAGTAGAGGCTCCCATGACTTTGAAATGAATGCACTCATCACCCTTCTCTCTTTCCCAAATTTTATATACAAGTAGTAGCCCTGAGCACAAATCCATGGGCCAGTAGCTCTCTGTGGGGCCTGGCAGCTCCGCACCTGCTGCCGAGGCTCTCCGTGGCCCAGAGGCCCATTCACGGCCAGGTGCAGAATGCTTGTCTCATCGCCAGGGTGATGATGCAAGTGTTCCCTCCCACATACACACACACACATCCCAGTCGCTCCATGCCCACTGCCCAGAGGCCCTCTGCAGCTGGAGCTGGGGTGGAATGCTTGCCTCGTTGCCACAGTGATGAAGCAAGCATTCCACCAGGCTGCTCATGCTGCCCATTCTCAGCGGCCGCCCCCCTGGGACTGGGGGACTCCAGCGGGGCTGAGAGGACTGGGCACTGCCATCTTGTGGCTATGGGCACTACCATCTTTGTGGTGGAGTGATGGTTAATTTGCATATTGCCCTTAGATAGGATAGTTTAGTCAAAAAGAAGTAATTCTCCATCTTCCAAGGGATCCTAGGGATCCTACCTTCCTCTGTAATCCTAAAATTTCCTTCTTCTCTGAAGTATTGGGAAATCCTTCTCCTTCACTTTTGCCAAGCACTTATTCAATTAGTGAAATAGAAGAAATCTCTTTCAAAGAAACACTTCAAGACAATCTTCTTTCCAAAAAGTAAAAGCAGTTATGACCCTACACGGGAAAGATGCAACTATGCAGCTATGCAACCCTGCTGCTCTGGCTTAAACTTAGGACTAAGGAATGTAATTTAGAAGCCAAATGGCTATAGATCTATAGTATTCAATCATCTTTATAATCAATAAAGATATTCAGGACTCCATTTATCTGATTCCTATCACTTATTTCTTAATTGTTCAATACACAGTTACCATATCTAAGCAATTCTAATAAAAATACTAAAATTAAAATAGAAAGTAATTTTATAAATAGTCATTTAATTAATTCTCACTTGTTCAACAGTCAGTGGTGCACTCCCTATAAAAATGGCTATGCATTACTTTCAAACCCATATTCTGAAAGAGGTAATAGGTAGTTGATATATTCAGAAGTCACCCCTTTAGTATCTTATACATTCAGGCCACAGTTTATAAATGCTATTCAATTCAGCGAAGTCCTTTAAACCTATAGATCAAATAACTCCTCCAAATTTGGGGATTCTCAAAATATATTTTTAAAAGAATTCATAGGTATTTATTTAAAAATAATTGCAGAAATGTATCATCTATATATGTGTGTGCATATATGCACACACATATATAAACAAAATGCACTTTTCAGCTAAGCTGGTTAGAATACCTAAAACAAGAATCTCTCGTCTATACATTCTCTTAAATGTCTGATAAAAAATATTCTGCATGGGAAGCAATACAAAAGCATGACTGAAACCTCTCTTATAAAGGTTTATCAAGGTAAGGAAAAACTGCAATACCAATTAACCATAAAGAAAAAAACTGAAAATTCAGGTGTTTGAATTTTTTTAAACAAAAGAAAAGCAATCAACATTATTATTTGAAGTCTAATCAATAACACCAAGTAGTATCTCCAAGTAAAAGTTGATGTGTTATCTCAATATAACTTATCTTGTTACTGTTATAATAAAGTAATTTCAACCTTAAAGGAGTAATACCAAAAGGAATTTTAAAAAATCATAAAAATTTATCACAAAAAAGTTTGTATCATTAACAATTTTATTTTACTTTTGAAGATGACTAACCATATTTCTGGCACAAATAATTTTATTTCTATAAGTGTCTCTACTTTTAAACTTTAGTAAAAACAATTTATAAAAACAGCATTCATAATAAAATAAATTTCCATTTCTCCTGGTTATTTTTTTCAATTTTGAAAAACAGAATATGACATGAATTGCAAAATTATCACTGATTATACTTACCCACCAACAAAGCAGAGGATATAAAATGCCAAATAAAATATTACAAAGGGTCCAAAGGTTATTAGAGAAAGGACAATGCCAAGGCTTCCCCATCCCCATATGGACAGACTTGTCTGAAATAAAGCAAAAAAAAAAAAAAAAAAAAGTTTTTAAAAATAAATATGAATTATAAAAGAACCAAGAAAACTTATACACAGTTTTAAATTTCTCCTTTTGTACATTTATAGTACTGTTTTAATTACTGTTAAAATATTTACTTTTGAAAGTATTAAGTACACTTTTGGAAATTTACCTCCAAGAAATGATATACAAAACCTGAATGCAGGAAGAGATTTATTCATAGAACATCAGGAATGATTTTTTAAAATCTAGTGACAATGTAAAGGTACAAGATTAAATAGTTACACACATTGTTAAATAATATGCTGGAATGAGAAATGATAAAGTATTTATAAAAACATTTGTATATTTATATATGCAAAAGCATATGTAAAATGTAGACTAAATTTGTGCTTATTTTGAATGCTTCATTTCAAAACTAAGTTAAAATATAACTATAGTATAACATTTTTAATTAAAATTTCCATATAAGAAATACATATCTCACTGAAAGCTGTATGTGGAAATTTGTAAAATTATAATCACTAAACTTCCAACTTCCACTTAGCAAAATTTATCATGAGCGCAACAAAACATCTCCAAAAATTATCCACAATTAAAAAAACAACAAAAACCCTTATTTCATTTAGATTCCAATAAAAATACTTTTGTTGAAGGCAAACTGGATTTTAGCAATTTAAGTCATTATGAATAAATAAATAAATGTATTCAATTCAACAAGTTATATCCATCTGCCTTGCACTGTGAGGTATACAGGGAAACATTTGTCTCTCTTTCATCAAGGAGCACAGAGAAGACTGTCTTATAGGAATGAAACAATTAGACACTGAACCAAAAGAAAATAATACTAAGCATTATAACATGCTAAGTTGAACAAAATTAATGAGCAAAAATTATACAATAGACAGTAAATGCTGTTAATTAGGAGAAAGGACAGTTGTATTCATTCATTCATTCATTCATTCACAATCATTGAATGCTTCCTATGTGCTTTAAGTTCTAGATGCTGGGGAAACCAGTGAATAAAATATATCCTTATAAGTCTACATTCAATAAGGGGAGAAAGATGAGCATGCCCTCATTTGTTTTTTTTTTGTTTTTTTTTTTAAAGCACAAGGTTTGACTGCTTTCATGCTCCTACTCTATATCCTACAGTAGTCTCCATGAAAATCTGGATGTAATTTCTTGCTACTGGGAACTACTTTGCAGTGATTACTTGATTGCAGTCCAAGAACTACCATTTGGTCTGAGCCTGGATATGTCATAGACCTGCTTCTCCCACCTCTGGGGTTAGATGGGAAAAATGTGAAATTTCCCATCAGAGGATTATAAGGAACAATCACATCATTCATCGCCATTGAGAAATTTCGTAGCTGGAATTGGGCTCTGTATTGTGGACTTGCAATTATTAGTCCATATGCGGCCAAAATGCCTAATCCAGAAGTCTGGTCTGTTAGAAAGGGAAACAGAAAGTGACCTCCTTTGTGCTACAGGAGATCCCCTTAATGGTGTTTTTCTCCCACTTGTAGTATAAACTTTTCTTACCAGTATTTCTAAACATGCGGCACTTTCTTCACAGGCATATCATTTTGACCTGTTTCCCCCTCCCTGATCTTCTGGAAAGGGAATGGAAGCAGAAGTGGGTTGGGACAGTTAGGGTTCTGCCATCCTCCACTCTGGGTGTAGGATATACACATATCTTTTTAAGTTTACATTCAGAAAGTGAAAAAAGACAAATAACTAACTAACTATATAGTTCTTGTAAGTTGGGGATAAGCATCATGGTAAAAAATAAAGCAACTTTATCCAGTTGATCTAAGAAGCTTTCAAATATTAGATGATATATGAACAGAAATCTTGGACAAGATTTAAAGAGAATTATAATATTGATTCTTCTATTTTTCCCTTTATTTTTATCTTCTTTTATGTCACTCAGTGTTTTGGGTTTTGGTTTTTGTTTTTGTTTTTTTGTTGTTGTTTTTTTCTATATAGGACTGGTACCACAGTACCGCCAGGTGTCCAACTATGGGAAACAGATGCTATTTTCCAGGATTCACTCAAAGTCTTATCCATGGACTTCCCTAAAAAGAGTTCTTGTTAACTCTCAGAAAAGTAGAAATGAGACTATTCAACCTACCTCCTTCAGTGAGACTTGATCTAATAGTAGCAATATTACTCTTTCTTTACACAGTTAAGATTTATGCTTGCAAGTCCATTTTCCAAAGGTAAAAAACTAATTAAGGATAAATTCTGAAATATTCAAAGGTTTTAAAAATAAAACCAAGCAAAGTGGCTATCTCTGAGGATAAAGGAAGAGAGCTTGCAATAGGAGGACAACTTGGGGCCTTCTCAAATACTCAGTAATATTCCGCTTCTTAAGGAGGTGTTTGTTTTTTAACCAGTTAACTGCCATGGTATTTTGAACTTAATTATATTAAAAAAAGGTCTGCTGCTTCGTCTATAGATGCTTATGGCAGATAACTTGTTAACCTACATAAATGTTTTATTTGTTCTTTTATTTGAATCATACCTTCCACAATTAAAAAACTTATCAAAACAAAAAACACACAATTAAGTTAATATGGGGAAGATTATTTAATGCAACAATTAGTTAATATGGGGGAAATGCTCAACTGTCTAAAAAATCCTTTTCAGTATCTTGTAAGTATGTTATGCACTTGAAAACAGTGGCAAAGTCACCAAAAACAAAATTTTATTCATTAATTGAACAAATATTTGTAAACACTTAACATGGTAGTGATTTAACTGTGAACAGTCAGTCATTACTGTCACTTTTTTTTTAATCTTGAGACAACCCTTTCCTAAATTAAGTTTGAGAGAAATTTTCATATTCTAGAAACTAATAAAATTAGCCAATTCCAATCAAGCAAGTTTGGTGCTCATTTGCTCAAGTAATCTGCTCATTGAAATATTAGAATAGGGAACTGTTCAAAAAATAAGAAAGCTTTGAGTTGTTCTTAATGTTCCCATCTATACATATAAAATCCTAAGCAACCATTATGATAAATTACAATAAAATCCTAAATGACTGGTCGCTATGACAACACACTGACCACCAGGGGACAGATGCTCAATGCAGGAGCTACTCCCTGGTGGTCAGTGTGCCCTCACAGCCAACCTCCCTTGGTCCCTCCCCCTGCCCAACCAACCTCCCTTGGTCCCTTCCCCCAGCCGGACAATCTCTATTGGCCCTGATCGACCCCAATTGTCCACCAGGCCAAGAGACCCCACCCGTGCACATGCTTCTACTGTGTGTGTGTGTGTGTGTGTGTGTGTGTGTATGTTTGTGTATGTGTGTATTTGCCTGAAATTATAATCTTACTTGGTGAGATTAAGAAAACATTTGCTTTGCCCCCAAGCATGTCAAACTCGAGGCCAGCAGGCCATATGCCTCATTTTATTTAAATGCTTGCCTGATTTGGCTCTGTAGATAAGCATGTTGGCCTGTAGACTAAAGGGTCCTGAGTTCAATACCGGTCAAGGGCATATGCCCAGGTTGCAGGCTCAATCCCCAGTAGGGGGCGTGCAGGAGGCAGCAGATCAATTATTCTCTCTCATCATTGATGTTTCTATTTATCTCTCCCTCTCCCTTCCTTTCTGAAATCAATAAAAATATATTTTTTAAAAAGCATTCGCCTTAATGCCATTTAAAAAGCTTAAGTTATCATTATCTCCTCGGATAATACAGGATAAAATTTAGGACAATTTAGTACTATGTCAGAAACCTTTTACAAATCCAAACAGGTGTTACTTCAGCAGCTGACTTAAAATGAAAGCCAAAACAAAACCAAGAATAAATCTACATTACAATGATTTACAGCAAAGTAATTCTTGATAGATTACCATTTTCCTCTCTAAATATAATAAACACTGAAATATCAACACTGGCTGGTGTTCTATTGATATAATCACTGACTAACCAATTGTGATTTAGCAGAAACCTTCAACATCATCTAAGGCAGACGTTCTCAAACTTTTAGGTTTTTAAATGCCGATTTTGCTTCAGGATGTCTATGGTGGGGCCTGTGATTCTCCCAATCTAACATGCTACCAATATCATTTAGAACAGTGGTTAGCAAACTGCGGCTCTCGAGTTTTGGCCCCTTGAGTTTTTAGCAAAGGCCAGCTTAGAAGTACCCTAATTAAGTTAGTAACAATGTAACCTACCTATATAGTTTTAAGTTTAAAAATTTTGTCTCTCAAGTGAAATTTCAATTGTTGTACTGTTGATATTTGGCTCTGTTGACTAATGAGTTTGCCAACCAATGGTTTAGAACTAAGAAAAACAACATACTTAAAAATCTCCCCAAATTAACCTCTAGGTCCACAAAACTGTATTCACAATACTATACCACAAAAAGTTGTAAAAGCTAAAATTGTACCAAGCATTCTACATATCCTATTCTCACTTACTTCTCAAAACTTATGAAGAAATATACATGGTAGTATAGCATAGTGCTGAAAATTTATGAACTCTGCAGTCAGAGAAATCAGAGTGCAAATCTCACCTTTCATATTTACTTATTAGTTGTGTAATCACCTTTATTTGCTCACCTCTATCATGTGGTTGTTGTGGGGGGTAAATGAGTCCATGATGCAATGATAAATGTTAGGCTAATTACTGTTATTACTCCTAGCTTAAAAGAAATTAAGATACATATAAAATGCAGGACTTAACCCAGCTGTTAAAAAGTACCCTGGCCCCAACCAGGGAAACCAGTTGATTTGAGTGTCCTCTGGATGCACCAAGTTTGATCTCTCTCTCTCTCTCTCTCTCTCTCTCTCTCTCTCTCTCTCTCTCTCTCACTCACACACACACACTCTCTCTCTCTCTCTCTCTCTCTCTCTCTCTCTCTCTCTCTCTCTCTCTCTCTCTCTCTCTCTCTGGATACGCCAAGATTTCAGGTTTGATCTCTCTCTCTCTCTCCCTCCCTCCCTCCCTCCCTCCCTCCCTCCCTCCCTCCCTCCCTCC